GCCTGCAGAGGGCGCCAACGGCCTGACGATTGTTTTTACACATTACTGTACGATCTAATCCTTGTTTAATATTGACCAAGCACCATTTCATGCAAATGTCCACTTAATCTTTGATATTTAGCCATTTCTTTAGGACAGAATTGCTATAGCCACTGTAATTAAAAGAATATGTGGACATCAGAATGTGTAAACTCAGAGTTTGCGTAGTTTTATAAATTATTTACCTTACAAATCTGATGATATGGCGCACATTGCGTTCCCAGATGAACGTTATAATAAACCCAAACGCACAACGACATGCAGAGATGGAGTTTGAGACGTTCCACACATGATATAAATGATAACAGTTCCTGTGGAGCAGCATTTACTGTGAACGGAGCCGCTGTGTGACGCATGTACTTAACCTACACACCTACATCACATAATTATTTCATTAAATCGTAGCGTTTGTGCATTCACAGTTATGCTTAATTATAATTTTTAAGTGGGTTTAATATGTCATGCAGCCTTGGGAAACAGTCTAATAATGTGTTTTATGGATTCGCGTCCGTGGAATGTGCCACTTCCGGTATTTTGCCGGTTAGTCGACGCAGGCAAAATTAAGTCGAGGACTTTTTTAATCGAATAGTCGAATAGAATCGACGAATCGTGGCAGCCCTAGCTGATACTGCTGAAATATCAGCACGTTTGGAAAGCCTCTTTATATAGCAGCATAATAATAATAATAATAATGATGCGTTAATATCGTGATTGATCCACTCGAAATCACTGTCAGCTAAATTTCCTGACGAAGTTCCTGTGCAAACAAGCGCAAGTGATATTATTTCTGTTTGGCCGTACCTTCCTCTGTTAACAAACTTTCAGTTTTATTTACTTGAACAAGTATAAAATGAGAAGCAAACTAACGGACTATTACCTACATAATATCCTGACTTTGTCAGTAATTCAGCTGCAGCCCGATTTGGAAATCATCTGAAAAATAAGTACTTGCTTCATGTCTCTCATTAGAGGTCACTAATTTTGCAAGCGTATGGCTGTACTCCCACAACAACATGCAGAGATGGAGTTTGAGACGCTCCACACATGATGTAAATCATATCAGTTCCTGTGGAACTACTGTGACGCATGTACTTAACCTACACGCATGTAAATAATTAAAGCGCATATACTGTATTAGAACTGCATCGCATATAATTATTTCATTAAAACGTAGCGTTTGTGAATTCACAATTATGCTTAATTATATATTTTTAAATGGGTTTAATATATCATGCAGCCTTGGAAAACAGACTAATAATGTGTTTTATGGATTCTCGTGCGTGAAATGCGCCACTTCCGGTATTTTGCCGGTTAGCCGACGCGAGCAAAATGAAGTCGAGGATTTTAAAAAAATCGAATAGTCGAATAAAATCGAAGAATCTAGTGTGTATATATTAAACTATTAAAAATACGGAAATTATTTTTAGAGTGAAATAGACGTATATTGAGAAATGCTGTTTTGTTGTGTAGTTTCTCCCAGATGTGTTCATAACGGGAAGGAGTTTAGGGAGGGCGAGGTGTACCGTATGGACCCCTGCTGGCTGTGTCAGTGTCGAGGTGGAGTGTCCTTCTGCTCTAAAGCCGAATGCACGGAGCTGGACTGCCAGAACTTCTACGTTCCTGAAGGAGAATGCTGTCCCGTCTGTATAGGTACTGAACAGCTTCAGCATTCATTAAATGCATGCATTTTATAACCAGCAGTGTTGGGAAGTAACTGGTTACATGCAACTAAATAATTACAAAATAAATGTAATTGTAATCAGTTACAGTTACTGAGAGAAAATGTTACTTATGAAAATGTTAATGATCTGAATTTTTTTTCACACACACATCCACATACAGGTTTAATTGATTTGTTTCATAAACTGCATTGAGACAATGTTTCAGGAGTTCAGGACACATGCTTATTCCATAACTGTTTTATTTCCAATTATGTATATGCTTTATTTTTTAAGGTTAACTTTTTTTTTTTTCCAAGGCATTGTTAGATGCCAGTGTTTCCTGTCATAACTATGCAAATGATTTGATCTCAAAAATAGTATCATAGCTATTAAACTATTTCTTGTTATGATTTAAAATCTGTATTTAATCTCAGAACGATCTCAAAGTTAAAAGAGGTGTTAAAGTCTGATTTTGTGGTGGCTGTGCTTTAAAATTAAATGATTATAATCTTAATTCAAGTGATGAAGTGTTTGGACAGTAATCGGTGTTGAGTTCTAGTGTAAGGTTAACCCTGTTTGGAAATGATTAACAGTTGAAAACATTAGAAATTTAGAAAATAAGCTGATGGTTTCATCCTAGATCTGCTATGCTTGATTGCATTTAAAGATAAACTGTGATGAGTTATGCAAAGTGAAAAAAACAGACCGTGAGTAAAAATCAGCAAACACACAAACCTGACACTCTTCAAACACACGGTTACTGACGGTTTCTGTCCACACATCTTTCATCAGACAGACTCAGATCCGTGCGCTTACAGCTGTGACCTTCTGCTCCTGAGGGTCAAAGGTCAAACTCATACAGTTTCTGTGGGACAAACCGTGTCAACAGATCATATTTGTGCTTTCAGTGACACTCACCTGTGTTATGATCATACAGATGGTCCTTTGAGCTTGAATATATTCTGCTCTGAAATCATAACCAGTGGATTTCTATTCATTCTTGTCACGCACAGTGACATTTTAGTATTGTTCATGTGCTATTCTAGTATTTATTCATATTTTGAATTAGCTTTTAGTTTTATATTTGCATTTTTATTTAAATTTTAGCTTAAGTTTTGTAATTTATGTGAGTTATGTGCGTTTTTAAATATTTATATTATTATCTATTTCTACTATTATATTTACATCTATTTTTTGTAATTTGGTTTTTAATAATTTTATTTTTAGGTAGCAATAATGAAATTGATAATTCTAACATTTATATTTATATCTGTTTTTACTATTATATTTATATGTACTTCAGTGAGAGTAAAGACATTTATAATGTTACAAAAGATTTCTATTTCAGATAAATACTGTTCTTTTGAACTTTCTATTCATCTGTGAATCCAGAAAAATAAAATGTATCACAGTTTCCACAGAAATATTGTGCAGCACAACTGTTTTCAACATTGATAATAATCAGAAATGTTTCTTGAGCAGCAAATCAGCATATTAGAATGATTTCTGAAGATCATGTGACACTGAAGACTGGAGTAAATGATGCTGAAAATACAGCTGCGCATCACAGAAATACATTACAGTTTACTATATATTCACATAGAAAACAGCTGTTTTAAATTGTAAAAATATTTCACTATTTTTGTGAGCAGCCTTGGTGAGCAGAAGAGACTTCATTAAAAACATGAAAAACGTACCAATCTAAAATTTTTGAATGGTCATACATCTGTTTCTACTATTATATTTATATCTATTTCAGTTTTAGTTTAATACATTCATTTATTTATTTAAGCTTTTTAATAGTTTTATTTTAATAGCTGTTAATAGCAGCACTGATAATGCAAACGTTGTTTTCTCATCCGGACGTGTGTGTGTGTGTGTGTGTGTGTGTGTGTGTGTGTGTGTCTGTGTCTGTGTGTGTGTC